GTGTTTCCAGTTTAGATCTTGCATCTGTATTATATGCAATGTAAAATACGAGAGCATGTAAATTTGTTGTTGTTTTCCATGCAGGTCAGTTGTTAAAATCTACATGCAAACTTGTTATTTTAAAGCGGGTGCCTTAAATCAAAAGATTGGATTTGGGGCATATTATGTGCTATGCACGAATACAATCAAAAATTCTAGACATACACGTTCGCATTTTCAAAAGGAACACTTAACATGTCTTGAATTTGGCAACGAACGCTTTCCATACCATGGGTCTTTCTTTCAATATTGAGAACTCAATCTGGGTCATTTTACAACGTTGAGAATGGACCCTGCCAGCAAGTCAACATTAGTATTGATCAAAATATTGTTGCAAAATGATTAATCTTTAAATTTAAATCAAATTATGGTCATTTTTAACGATGAGTTAAATTTAATTTAAATTTGCTTGAAGTAGATAAAACCTCAGAAGAAAAAAATATCTCACAGGCGTCATAAAAATGATACCAAAAGCATATCATGGTCAAGTCTGGGCCCATGCGAACTATTAATTCTTTGGCGAGAAAGGCAAGATAATTTTTTAAAGCAGACAGGGATCAGTTTTACAACAGTTTAAGACAATGATTTTCAAACAGATGGAGCTATGTGGTTCGGAGTACGACGTGCCCATCGAGAATTTAACATAGGAAGCATCTTTTCAACCTCTGATAATGTTTTTTTTTTCGAACTAGTATTATCAAGTGTTGACATTAATAAGAATTTATATAAATAGCCATGCTTTTACACTGTGTTTAGAAAGACTATATGTTCTTTATGGTGAATTCTTTACCCATTAAGAAGTAAACATCTTCCAACTCTTTAAATCGATAGTTTTACATTGCCGCACGGAACAAAATTTGCGCACTTTGATTTATGACTTGTTTTCTAAACGTACTCAACATTTCTATTTTACCCTAAATACATATATTATGTCAACGTTTCCTTATCTTATACCGGTAAATATACAACAACTTCATTGAGCTTCTACTGATCAGGGGAAGTACATTTGTAACCGTTGCTGATACACTACACTTCTCGCATCGGTTACTTCCCCTGAGCAGTTAAAATTACGAACCAAATTGAAATATAATGCGGCAGATTCAAAGACCGCACAGCTGTTGCAAATCCTTTATAAGAGTGTTATATGGGTTTCAATAAGGATGTGTTCTTTTAAACATTAATAACAATAACAGTAGAAGCTTAAGGAAGTCACTTTTATTCTAGCAGGCGACTTCCGTTGAAAAAAAATATATTATCCTGCATAAGAACCAAAAAGATGTGTCAATAGATTAACAAATTGTTCTGACCTCCTGGACCACTTGAATATAATAAATACAATTTCTTCACTTAAGATCTGAAAGGAATACAAATATACGAGGTATGATCATTACGTTTTCGTTCCGATATACTTCTAGCAACTACACTGACATTTACACACGATACGTCGATACTGATATCTTATTGAAGATTACTGACATAAAACACACTTTGATCAGTAGAGGGAAGATATCATGGATACACTTGGGAAAAAGTCCCCTCCCTATAGCACTGTGAAAAATGGGCTGCTGAATTTAAGAAGGGCAGGGAGAGCATTGGAGATGATGAGCTGCCTGGGCGGCCAAAAGAGGCCCCCAACGATGAAACTGCCAAAGCTGTGCACGATCATGTGGTCATGTGCGACAAGGGGCGAGACATGCGAAACATTCCTCGCTTGGGAAGTGGGTATTAGAATTTATTCATTTCAGGCAATTCTGACTGAATTCTATGGCATGTAAAAGGTTTCCGCTTGATGGGTCCCAAGACAGTTGACAGACGACCAGAAACGGACTAGGCTTAATATTTCTAGATATCTTTTGTCTCGCTACGAGGATGAACTTGAGTTTATCTACCGGATCGTTTCTCAAGATGAAACATGGGTCCACAACTTCGACCCAGAATCCAACAACCAGAGCATGCAAGAGGGTAATATCAACAGGGAAGATGATTACTTCAATTTATGGGGATAGTCAGGAGATAATCATGACTGACTATCTTGAGCACACTATGCACACGAATTGAGACGTCTGCGTCAAGAAATCTCACGTAAAAGGAGGCGCAAACTGACTCAACGCGTTCTGCTCCTGCACGACAATGTGCCAGCTCACACAACTAAAGTTGCGATGGCACCTACAACTTTCTGCGGCTTTGAAATTCTTCCTTATCCTCCATATTCTCCGGACTTGGCGGCCTCTGACTTCAACTTGTTTCCGAAACTGAAAACCAAGCTTCGTGGTAGACATTTTGGAAGTAATGAAGGTGTCATTTAGGCGGTCAATGATTTTTTTGAGGACTAAAATAGAGAGTTCTCTTTTGAAGGGTAAAATAAGATGGAGCACAGGCTGGCAAAATGCATTGATGTAGAGGGCGATTATATTAAAAAGAAAAACCATTGGTTGGGTTCTTTGACTACCGGATGTATATCGGGCCGAGAACTTTTTGACCAGTCCTCATATTATTCATGAGGTCAATTCTCAACAGGGTCAAAATTTAGTGTTGACCATACGCCGCTTTTCGTGGAATGACACTACTGTGCCACATTGATGGTTCCATGATAACCGCCGTATGAACACATCTGCGGATGTTTCTAAATTCAAAATTTCACCAATTTCGTGTTTAAATGTTGAATTCTGCTTAAGCCGGTGCTAGGAGGCGTGGACGGTAACTTGCACTTTCCAGTACCGTCCATGAGCAGGCTTAATCAAACCGAGCCTGCAACATTTTACAATTTTGCCGTGTTGGGCTTTCTTTAGGGATTCTGTTTTCTCTATTTTATTGTCACATCCGTGTTATTTGTGCCGTGTGGCGGCTGTAAAAAGTCGCCCCGTACATTTAATCAATGATGTTATATTTTCGATCCTTAAAGATTGTTCAGCACAACATTTTTGTTGTATATGCATTTTAGATGGTATTTTTAGTTTCTTGTATTTGGCCCATTTCAACATGGGTGGTTCCAGTATTCCTTCCTGAATACTGTATAATCACCTTTAGGATATGTTGCCTGCTTTTTAAATGTCTCTTTTGACGTCTTATCTGTGATTTTCAGGCTTCATAACCTCGGATTACCTTTCAAACTTCCATTTTATTTAGTTCCGCCCATTGTTTTCTCGTTAAGGGGAACACATTTTTTTTACCTGGGGACCATACGCAGCTTTTCGTGGAATGACACTACTGTGTCACATTGAAGGTTCAATGATAACCGCCGTATGAACACATCTGCGCATGTTTCTTAATTCAAAATTTCACCATTTTCGTGTTTAAATGTTGAATTCTGCTTAAGCCGGTGCTAGGGGGCGTGGACGGTAACTTGCACTTTCCAGTACCGTCCATGAACAGGCTCAATCAAACCGAGCCTCCAACATTTTACAATTTTGCCGTGTTGGGCTTTCTTAAGGGATTCTGTTTTCTCTATTTTATATCCGCCCATTATTATAAGTAACCCATTATAAATGACCTGCACAGACAAATCCCATTGGCCTTTTTTCTCTTGAATGCATTTATTAATCACAAACATGGATGCATGCTTGGAGAAACTCTCTTTACAAAAATAAAAAAGATTTTTAACAGGATATATTCTGTGTAAATTTATATGGGTTTCACAAAGACATAATGTGTGGACATTTTTATCAATAAATATTATTAAAAAAAATGATATCCGGTCTTTACCCGCGCACAAATAGGTAATATCATAATAAAAGGTATTTTTATGGGTTACTCACTGAAGGATCACAGGCAGTCGGTGTGTGGCTTGGATACTATTCACGTACATGACCACTCCCAATTTTCTCTCTTTTTCTTTTTTACAAATTATATATCTATTTACTCAAAATGTTTTGCATACATATAATTTTTAGTGAAACAACAAAACGTTAAGGTAGAAAGGTTCACCGGCGGAACCATCACCCGGTTTTATTTGATGTTCCAGATCTATCTTAATTTCCAACCAATGTCGTCATTTATTTATGAATTGATCCCAAATGATAACAATCATGACTATCAGTTTGACACATGTAATTTAGGTTAATATTTGCAAGGTGAAGGTCCTCTCCTATATGCACATCATAATGCCCAAATCTGATTCTCTGTCAGAAGCTTTAATAACGGGCATATTTTGTGACAATGATGCCTTTGTTTCTGTTAAATTTAAGTATTATGTTATCGTTCAAGCGTTGAAGAATGATTCACTTGTTTACATCAATTCATTTAACTCGAGGTAAATAAACCATGCTACACTTTTGGAAAAAAAACTTTGGATGTCTCTGTACGTTTTCATATTTCGAAAGAGTCAATGTTGTGTTCTAAAATGAAAATAATTCCTCCTGTTTACTACCTACATAAATCACTGCTATCAAAAAATAATGTTTATTATAAAAAAAACAATAAATGTGAAATATATAAACCAAAGTCTGCAATAAGAATTGCATATTTTTATTTAATTTTACCCATGAAATATGTTGCTATATCAGCCAAATATACCATATATCATATTTGTGCAACAAAAGACAAATATGAAAAATTAATATGAAAGTGGACAGAGCCAAGACTCGATTTTCTTTTGGGGGACTACTTTCTCAGGCATTTCTTAATATTTGCACGAATTTATATTATTATCATGGAATTATCGGAATATATTCAAGATGACTGTGATGAATTTTGCATTGAATGCGCACCACTGAAGAAGTGCATTTGCTGTCAAATAGGTGTATCCATAAACTTTTTTTCCTTGAAGATAAAATTAAATAAAAATGTACGGCTATTTTTGCGTTTTTATTGAAATATGAAATATACTCCAACATAATATGATAGAATTCTTTTACATTTACACACCGTTCAGTCTCGTGAAAATATATGCCATATTTCACTTAAACGATAGCATGAACTTCACTAATAAATGTCTTTACGATCTCTTTATTATATCATTACAGTGGCTGTAAAGACATTACTTTCATACCAGACTTAGCATATAAAATGGACACCTCTCATGTACTAAATCTCCTCAAAATCGAAATTAACACACTAGAATCTCGCTTCATGGCGTTAAAACAAAATAAAGTGACAGCACTTGATAACATGAGGGAAGATAAAAGTCAATTGATTAAAGAAATAAAGTCGGAAAGGAAGAAAATTAACGACCGTTTGGATAAAATGGAAATGGATCTTATTCAAGAAGTGGATGCCACCTTTCAGAAAAACATGCAACAATTAGAAACAAACATGAAAGAAGTTGATGCGCAGATTGTTATACTTCAAGAAAGTCTACAGAGCATAAATGCTGCTAAACACGAAAACGAATCAGAGAAATTTGTACAAATAAAGAGCGTCAAAGAGAAATATAAAAATACAAGCGATTGTTTAAAGGAATTTGAAAAGTCAAGCAAAACTGGAACCTTACGGTTTGATCCATACCGGCAGGAAACTGATTCAGAATACAACATTATCGGAAGCATACTTAATCTTCCAGTTATTGAAGTAGGGAAATGTAGTGAATTTAATGTACAGATAGCAGATGACAAGAAGAAGAGCGATATAATTGACATGTGTATGTGTGAAGACGGATGTATTGTAATGACAGATTACAACAATAAGAGGATTAAGAAAATGAATGAATCATTCCAGGTCGTATCCTCGCTGAATGTCGCCGACAACCCTGTCGGTATTTGCCAAGTTGGGAGGACATTGCTTGCCGTTACTCTGATTAATGATAGAAAGGTTCAGTTTATCTCCCAAAAAGAGAATATGTTACTGCAGTCATTCAAAGTCGGTGATAGATGTCGGGGTATTGCGTACAATGACGGGATGATTTATGTTTGCTGTGGCGGATCAAAGACTTTTAAAGAAGGAGTTGGTCATCTAGAGGTATATTCGGTTACTGGGAAAATGGTAAAATCATACTATGGTGAGATAAAATGTCCTTTACGTGTTGTATTTCTACGCTCTTCAGACGAGATGTTTGTGACTGACAGGTATAAAGGTATCCTTCTCATTGACAAAACGCGAGGCATGACAAAACTTAATGTGGATATCAAAGTATTCTCGGGTGCTGAATGTATTTGTAAGGTAAACAAGAGTCAGTTCTGCGTTGCCTTTTATTTTTCACACAATGTTCTTTTGATGTCACATGACGGAAAGGATCGAGTAGAACTATTGACAGGAAAGAATGGTATACAAAATCCTATGGATATATGCTTCGATGACAAATCATCGAGGCTTGTTGTCTCCTGTGATAACAGAGAAAAAATAATGGTTTATACCTTGAAATAGTGGATTGATTTGTTAATAAGGAAACGTTGTGATATTTGAGTGTTTGAGTGTTTTCGCGTTGAAATTAGATCAAATTACCATGAGGAAGATATGTGTCACTGACAATATTTTGTCTGGTAAAAAAATGGAATATTTTAACATTTTGCTGCATAAATATAGTTAATGATTAAATAAATATTTATTTGAATTATCTGATCGGTGATTTTGCAGTCGTTTTATATGCTATATATCTAATTCTTTTTTGTCTTTAATTTTGAAATGTTCAGGCAAATTATTGGATGATTTCCAATGATTACGAGCATAAAGACTACCAATCGCATCATCTCGGTCCTTTTCCGCTAAATTTCGGATAAGTTATCAAGAATAATAGCCGAGGTGGTCCGAAAAACATTCTCTGTTTGCTCATTTTTTAATTGTTTCCTATTTGTTTACTGGTACTTGTACATTGCTGAAACAGTATTTTCTGCAAAAATAGAATTGCTTTGTCCTTTACAATAACGTTATGTTATCGTGGACAAACTTAGAACATATTGTTGAAAAGGAATATATTATGTACTAATAAAGTTATATCTGTGATTGAAAGGTTATATATGTGATTCTAATATAATACATGTATTTAGCCATTCATAAATAAAAATGTAGAAAGAAATACAAACCTTTAGAAATTTAAAGAAGTTAAATAAATGCAATTAACAAAATTAAGAAAACTACCTGATGCCATATTTTTATTTGTGAATACATTTTTTATTATAAAACTATAATAATGTATATTGTTTAAAGCTGTGTTTGTACAATAATTGCATTGACAAATATTTTTGAGCTTGTTTCCATATTGGACTTTTTGTTGATTTGAAAAGCCGACTGGTGCATTTGAATTTTGAGGAAATTCTGAACAAAAGTTGGCGTACTAACCTAAAAGGTGTTTGGAAAAATGAAAGTCAGACAGGTTGTTCCGAGCCTGCATGTAATGCCTTGAAATACATAGTATAAAGAGGATGTGAAAATTATGTTTAATATGGATATAAAGGTTTCATAATAAAAGTAATTATTGTTGAAAATTTACACCAAGAAAAGCATATAATTATCAATATACTGAGATAATGCCAAACAGATATTTTATTGTGTTTTGCAGACTTCATTTGCCGTATTATTGTCGCAAATGTAAAATAGTTACTTGTTTTACATTGTATAATACACATTTTAAGATCTAATGTTAAATTTCCTGTTCAAGTTTATGAACTTGTAACATAATAACTTATGTCTTGATTATCATTTAAATAATACCATGTTAATTGCTATTTCTTCAAATACACAATGATTTTGTTTATAAATGTTCACATAAAATGTTATTGTATTATTATGAAAATATGATACTTGACTTACATATAAATATAAAAGATAACCAAAAAACAAAAGATAACTGGATTAGTGCTGTTTAAATTGACGTTTCAAATAATGTTATTTCCGAGAAATGAATACTTATGATCTATTCTGTATGTTTGATTGCATAATTGAGGAATTCCGATTTGTTTGCGGGATTGTATATTTGTATATGTTTCTTTTTATTGTATTCATTATGAAATACGACTATGACTTAGGACTAAACATTTTATAAAAAAAGGTGACGTGTAACATAGCATTTTCCTTGTCAAAATGCCTGAAATGCATTAATTATATAAACAATCTAAATCATTTCAATATTATTAATTTATCTTGCTTATTTATAAATTTGAAACAAAAATCATGTAAAATAAAATAATATTTTTATATAAATTACTTTTAGATTCTCAACTGATTAATTTCCAAACTCTTGTATAAATATGTCATAGTAGTCTACTGAATCAAATCACCTTTTTATTATAATACTTTATTATTTGATTACGGCATATTTTCTTTTTCCTAGTTTTTTTATACAACAATTCATACATGATTATCTAATGACATTTATTGTTAATATAGGCCTAATTACTATGACTATAATTTCTCAATTAATATTGTTGATTTTCATATTTTAATAAGTCCTACTTTAAATTTCGGACCGGACGAATAACATCAAGTCTTAATTACAACTTTAAAACTTGTAACACCTATTACAATAAAACTTAACCTAGATAATTTAGGTGTTAGCTTTTATTAAATATATGTGGACAATTATTAAGCTTGAGAAATTATCATTATTCTATCAAAGTGAAAATAAAGGGAAAAACTGAACACTGGACTTTTTGTTTTTCAGTGCTTAATCATTTACAAAGAGAATACTGGATGTCACTGATAAGAAACTCATACACCCGTATCCCACCCAGCAACTATGCGTGTCCGTATAGGGCGCTTACTACACCAGCCAGTTCCCGCACGACCCCAAAGCGCAGTCCTGTCAGCGACCCTCATTACAAATTACTTATAAAAAATAAGGCCAATTATAGCCACAAAAAAACATAAATCAACATTAATTTGACCTTCAAAGTAAAGGTCATTTATGATTTAAGGTCATAGTGGTTTTCTATAAGACATTGTCCTCTAGGTAGTTATGCTCCAGTATGAAGGCAATTCATTTATAAATTACAGTTTTAGCCAATGATAGCATAAACAAGCAAAATTTATTAATTTTACCTTCAAGGTCAATGTCATTTATGAGTGAATGACAAGGGTAACTTGATACATCAAATTGTATTGTCCAAAAGGTTCTTATGTTCAAATTTATAGCCAAACCATTCATAAGTTAAAATTAAAGATATAGCTTTAATTATAGCAAATATTTTAACAAAACATATTAAGATAGCAAAAAGACCTACACAAAGTATGTTCCTGCAAAATGCATTCGTCAAATCACAAAGGCTGTAAAAAGCAAACATGTAAAAATTTGTTTTAACACAGATAAACTTGACCCACCTAAAGTAAGAAGAATCCTAACGACAATGAAAGATATCCGTCAGTAGATAAAGCAATAGCCTACAAGTGTAAGGACTTTGATAAAAGTGACATAAAACACCAACAAAGTTTACAATACCATCGTATTTACACACCAAATATGAAACAAATCCTTTAATAAAAAACGACTTTAAGCAATAATGTAAAAACCTATTTTTGCGCTCAACTGAGCAAATTGCTTCTAAGTTCCACTTAAACTGAGGATCAATGCAGATGTGAAAGACATCAGGTAATTGATAATGACTGTATGATAGAATTGGATAATGTATTTTAAGCACTGGTGACCTTGACCCCTATAGTCCTCAAACTCGATCCAAAGGTATATGCCTACCAAATATGAAAGGCACCAGTTATTAAATAAAGGCTGTATGACTAAAAGAGTAGAAATCTACTTTTAGCACTGGCGAGTAATTATCTAATTTTAGCACTGGTGACCTTGATATGTATATTATATAGGACTATCCAAAGTAACTACCTTCCAAATATGAAAGAGAAATGAAGAAACGCAAAAGAAGTACAAAAGAACAGAGGGACAAATCAGCGGCTTTATGTTCTCGGATTATTTGTTGGGGCATAAAAACCTCATTTAGTGCTCGCCAATTTTTTTAAGCCAATCACCGACGAGGATTTTTCAAATTGTCAGGTCTCAAATCTTAATAGAACAGATTTTATATAAACTGGACGTTTTATATTATAAAACGCAAGTGGGCGGAGCTAAGTTTCGAAGAGCGCTAAAGTGCAATTTACGCATTTGTTTACTCCTCCTACTAATCAATATTTATGACAGGGTACCTGTGTTATAAAAATTCAAATGAAGAGAGGTAGCCCGTGGGGCTGCAAAACCGAAAGTAGGGTGTTCAATGAATTTTACATTTATTTTTGACAATATACTGCCATTTGCCCGAAGATGATATGTATATGAATATATTAAATATGTATGATGCATATATAATCAAGCCACAGGTTCCTTTCAGCCCGAAAAATATGTCGAAGTGACGGGCGAGGCAAGACATGTCGTATTTTTGTAGCTTATTGTGAAGTTGCAGTACCTGAAATCGGGCACATGACAAATCAGAACATAAATAAAACATTCTTGTTTTCCATGGTATACATCTTTTCTACGTGTCATACCCCCTTTCCTTCTTACAATGAAACTTTACTGCAATGTTATCCATCGCTGGTTTGTTTTTAGCAGAGAATGACCTGTGCATGTTCAAAGAGGGTAACGTTTGAGAATATTTCGCAAAGAGGGTACCGATATGGATATGCACCGTGATATTGTCTTATATACCTAGACAGAATGCGGGAATTAGCTATGCAAAACACGTGACCCGAAAATGAGTATTACCGTCTTCCAAATATGGTTATTCACATTTAGGCTATTGTGTGACGTCACGCAGTGTGTTGGGCGGAAAAAATGGGCGGAGCACTAAGCCGGTTAGAGTGCATATTGGATGTTCTTCGTAAATAAGAAAGCTACAGTCGCTTCGCAAGCTCCGCTCCTTTTTAGCTTTCTCATTTACGAAGAACACCCAATATGCACTCTAACCTATACTTAAAGGAATGTTTTCTTCTCTATTGATTGGTTTGAAGAGCATCATATAAACGCTTCATTCAATAACAGAGCTTGTAGCATTGCCTTAGCGACCGAAACCTAATTCTCACCATAGCTATTGGTCAATTGGCGTACGTGACAAAGTTTTGTTTTTAGCCAGAATTAATTGTAAAGGTCATATGTGGAATTCTAGCATTACTGTTGAAGGATGACTTCATGTGCATTAATTCAGGTACGATCTGCTACAAGAGCAGAATCACACAAAGACCCCTGAAACAACACTAACATATGGTATCAGGGACTTATAAAGCAGATTACAATAATACACAGAGATATAGCTGTGTGATGATATGACCATAATAGATGAATGCATTTAGCCAATAACTTGCTGCAACTGAAAGTAAATTAGCCTTTACCACCAGTAAAGCTATGGCCAGACCAAATCTGCATCCGTGCAGTCTTATCAGGCTAATTATAGTTTAATTTAAACATATTTATTTTATCTCGATTGCGAAGAAAGTTCTTGCAACTTATAAACATTATTTTCGAGTCCGCTTCATTGTACAAACTAGTACTGGTGTCATACCCGAGAAGGAATCGAACCCAAGATCCTTCGGTCGAGAGGCAGACACCTAAACCACAAGGCTAAGGCTGTACTTTTGCTGTTTATTGTTGGTAGCGCAATGTTTGCATACGTCGTAAACATTAACTTTTCCAAACTCAAATGCAGAGCAAATCCATAACACTTACATAAAAGATTGTTTGTTAACAAATTTAAAACAATAAAGATGTCATAGTTTTGAGATTTTATACAAGTTAACAACATACATATATACAAAAAATTATCACAATATGATAGAATACACAATTTTAAATAGAAAAAGGTAACATGCAATAAATGACATAAAGGAGATTTGTTACTTTCAGTGTAGTATTGGAAAATTTACATAGAAATGAGCCCTGGATGATAAAACTTTCAAGAAGGGAAAGGTATCGGGGCCCGTTTTTTAACGTACATACCTTAGGATTTGCGTACATTTAAACTTACGTCTGATTTTTACGTAATTTATTTTGTATTGAGCTTTTGGGAATATAAAAATCCAGAACTCTGGAATAATCCTTATAATGTCAAGTGTCATTGACGTATTACGTGCTATCAAAAATGTGTCAAAAATGTAATACATTTTTATCTAATATCAATAATATTTCATGCCATTTCAGTTGCCGTGCGCTTTAAAAATAAAGATTGTAGCCATGTAATTGCTTATTCATTGCACAATATATTCATCAAAACATCACATCTTAATACTGAGAAGTTGAATACAAAAATAATAAGATTTTTTTATTTTTAGAGGGTAATATAAATAGATGTTTTCACATAGCAATTTATACCTCCACTGGTCGCCATTTTTGGTGTCATTCTCAAACATCAAATGCTTAACATCAGATGTTACGTTTATGCTTCAATTATTACAAAAGAATCCAACAGTACAATATATATGCATACATGCATGTTATCTCAAATTACCGCATACTCGTATAAAGGTTTACAATCGTCAGCAGTGTATATACAGTGCATTACTGTTGCATTATTTTATAATAATTGAATCATAAACGTAACATTAAAACAATATAAGCATTTCAAAAATCTTCAGAGCAACAATATTAATATTGATAACAAGTGAAAAATAATGCAAGAAAAGACAAGCATAATATACCACTCTTATATGTGTTAAAGTTTATTTTTTCTAGGAAGATGTAAAATGTACGAATGTGTATTTTTACCATAAATTGTAGCGACAATTCAATCCTTTCTTCCTGGGGGAGGTGCTTTATTTCCGTGTAACATTTTCACTGTACTTATTTTAAGATTTCTTTAAATCATCGCCCTTAAACCAAAACAATACCTTTCACTACTTGAATATTTCGGAAATTTAAACTTCAATTGTTTTCTTATTATATGTCAAGATTTCAAGGATCAAATATTAGTCTTATCAGCTTTATATGTATACCAGGTGTAATGTAAGCATTCTGAAACTTGAAACGGTTATCTGGTCCGAAATTTAAAAGGCAATGGCTCACGTTTTCATTTAAAAAAGAAGAAGAAAAGATGTAACTGACGGTAAAATATTTCATTTTCTAGGTTGTTAAAAGGCGATTGAAGCATGGAAAAGGACAGCCGTCACTACGTCTAATTACCTTGATTGAAGTGGTGTCAACAGTTTTATTTTATATATTCATTTTTGCGAACAATTTGATACTCGTATATACCTCCAAAATTTGGCGAAGTGATGAAATGGATAGCCTATTAGTTTTATTATATATTTGATTATATGAATCGTTAATTAAATGAAAAAACAAACATAAGTTGCAGTCGAATGACAAATCCCTAGCAGTAGTCATTTGTAGAAAATACTATTAATCTATGTAGAGATCAAATCATTTTATATCCTCCTGCAGACTGAAGCTAGGCTTCGGTTATAATAACTATCCCCGAAAATTTGAAACATTAACAATTATGTCCAATAGTAGTGAAAAAGATACTGTTAAATTGTTTCACGGACACACGGACACACGCACGCATGAACAAGTGACATAGCCGTATTTCTTATCTTAGGATAATTATATTGACATTGTTTTTTGAAAGAGAACTGGCTCTTAATTCGCTGGCGGGAAATTCGCCAATGTATATCAATTTTACAAGATCAATCTTACTAAACTCAGAGCTAACTCGAAATTCAAAACATGTTCCATATATTGTTTACTTTTAATTGACAAAAACCTATGTCAGAGTCTGATCGTAGTTCAAAGTTAGCTAGAAATTGAATTTCGACCTACTTATACAGAGCTCAAAACATTTTGGGGCTGTGACTCCGTGTAAATACATGAATAATATATTCCGATAAAACTTTCTGTAAGTTTTTGTTAAAATATGTTATCTAAATGAGGTTATAACAATAAAAGCAAAGAACGTGACAATATAAATCGTCTATCATATATTGGTTTATAATTTTGAACATCTAATTCGATTTGCATGCGTGCTTATGTTTGTAAGTACATCCTGATTTTGTCAAAATGAGTGCGATTGAGATCTTTAACAATGTATAACCGCAAACAAGCTGAATTCATTAAAATTCGTATTGTCGCGATTAGACAACAAACAAAGTAATATAAATTATCCAGCGTCATTAAATGATGCTCTTAAATTACTACATTTATTCATTTGGAACACTTGGCTGATTTCCGATACTATTGCCGGTCACAGGAAATACTAAATCAAGTAGTTTTACCACTTCACTTGAAACAATGAAACTTTAGAAATAGTGTATATTATAATGCAAATTAAACTATTTTATCTCAAAAGTAACGATTTGTGAGACAAGCGAAGAAGGAGAACATGGCAGTAGACGGTCGTAAAATGAGACAATCTTTGTGTCAAGGTTCTGACATAGAACATGATTTTCCGTGTGTACCGTGCACTAAAAAAGGGAAGAATGTAGCTGCTATCAAACACTGTGTGGAATGTGGTGAAAACCTTTGTCAAAAATGTGTTGGTGATCACAATAAGTTTTCAGCTATGAGAGGTCATCAGTTACTAGACACGGTGAAACATCCGAGCGGGAAAAAGCAAGAATTACCAAGTCAAAAATGTGAAAAACATGGAGGAAAATTGATAGATGTCTACTGCCCTTGCCATGATAAGGTTGGCTGCTCAACTTGTATGACTGTTGGACACAGGTAGGAAAGTTAACTCTACTTTCGGTTTCAATGGCAAACAAATGTGTCCATGGTGATGTCATTCAAAATTCAGTTTAAATTAATAATAATTGATGAGGGAAAAAATAAAACTACAACTTGTCAGTGATTCATTGCATTTTTAAAATATTCCATGTAGGTCTAGCGTTTTTTTTCCTTTTTTAATATTTCATAATATTTTATTGGATAAGGTGTACGTAGGGTGAAACATTAAATTTTGACCCCGTTGAAAATTAACACCATGGATCATTTTTTAATGTTGAGAACTTAAACTTGGGTCATTTTTCAACGTTCAGAAGTGACACTACCAGCATTTCAACATTCGGTTTGATCAAACAGTCGTCGAGAAATAATCAATCCTTAAATTTTTATCAGATAAGAGTCAATTTTAACAGTGAGTTAAATTTTAGTTAAATGTCTCTTTTAAGTAGGGAAACAGAATCTCTCAAGGGCGTCATGAAAATGATTATACAAGCATAACATGATCAATTCTGTCACATGCGTCCTATTAGCACTTCCTCAAGAAAGGCAATATAATTTGTATGTTGGAACTGTTTTACGAAAGTTGAAGACCATGGTTTCCAACAGATGGATCTATGTGGTCCGAATCAGACATTTCAATCGAGTCATCTACATAGGAAGGATCTTTTCAAATTAAGGTTTTAAACCATGATAATAGGTATTTACGAACTAGTATAATCAAATGTTGAATTGAAATATAATAACTATAGCTAGCCATGATTTTAAGAAATACTCTCTTATATCTTCCATATGGTGTTTCTAAACAAACCGATCTAAACCCAATAATGAATTAATATCTTCCCAAGCTTTAATTAAAACCGTTAGTTTTACATTGCGACAATATTTAGACCTAAGGGGATAAATTAGTGCACTTTGTTTCTAAATTCAAATCTCATAATAGTAAATATTTTCGTCTGCTCGCACCTTGCTTACTTTCTGTACGTATCAGGGGAAGAAACCGTTGGAGAAACACTAAACTTCTCGCAGCGGTTCCTTCCCCTCAGCAGTAAAAAATGAACTGTAATACGAATGTAGATTGAAATATAACACGGCTGATTAAAAGATAACACGACTGTTGTAAATCCTTTAACCCTTTACCTCATATATACGAAACAACGCACTTTCGACCCCCTCCCCCTTTTTAGGCCTGAAATAATGAAAAAATGTCCTATTTAGGCCCCAAACACATGTTTTCGTTTAAGTAATGTTGCCTTAAAAAGGTGAGCACTTTTTCGGCGCCGCCCCCCATTCAAAAGATACATCAGGGGGTTGCCAGAAGGGGGATGTGCCCCCTTGTGTTTGGGGGGTTTGAATGGGGGCGGAGTCCCCCTCATCGCCAAGAAAATTTTGGACTTGTGAGAGGCTAAAAATGACCCCAGGTCGATCATAAAGTAACGTGTAACCAACGCTGAAAAGCCTTTGACTCTATCTCAATCCCTTGAGAAGTTGCAGCACTTTGAAATAAATTTGAATGGAAAAAATCGAGGCAAAATAGTGATTTTTGGCAATTTTGAGATGTCCCCTCCTTGCCATGGTAACAGGAAATGTCAGACTGAGCATGTCTTTACAAAGGCAATGGTCCAGTCAACATTTGTGCCAAGTTTGATTAGTATTGAAGCATTTTCCATAGTTTCATAGCAGTTTGAACTTGTAACAGGAGGCTTTTCAGTGAAAACAGGCATTTTTCACAATATGCTCATGTGGGAAAGGGTTAAAATAGGGGTAGATGGATTTTAATTAATGTGTTATCTTTTCAACTTTAATAATAATAGGAGGAAATCATTTAAATACAAGTGAAAAAAATACATTACCCTGCATGCAGTGTAATATCATAGTTCACCAAATAAGTACAATATAGCTGTGATGATGGATTTTAAATTGTTATAAGCTTCAGGACTTTTTCAATTAAAATGAATAAATATTTCATTTCTTAAAGGTCTGAAAGGAATACAGATTTATTACTGTTTTATGTGTATGACTATAAGTAGTAATGTTTGAAAATATTATTTTGATTTATAATACTTATCAATGATGAAGTCATATTTGGTCAGTTTTAAGCGAGGGTCATTTAATCACGCGTCGGTGTGTCATTAAATCACGGGAAGGAATCAATTTTCAAAGTTGAAAATTGATCAAAATCCGTTGAAAAATGACACAAGGGGTCAATTTTCAACGGGGTCAAAATTCAATGTTACACCCGCATATTATATTAAGTAACCCATTATAAAATGACCACCGCAGGCAAATACCTTGCGTATATACTTTGTCTTGAATACATTTCTAAATCACAAACATAGATGTACGTAGATAGAATGTTTTTTAACCTCTCTTTACAAAAACGAAGATTTTCCTCAGGAAACATTGTGTGTACATGCATATGCGTTTAACAAAGAGATGATGCGCAGACTCTTTTATTAATAAAACAAAATAAAATATAATGAAATGTTTCACAAGTAATGACAGAAAATAATTTTTGGTCCGGTATTTTTCCGACGCATGCATAGTTAATACCATAACAAAAGGGATGTATTTGCGTGGGACCGTTATTTGATGGGTTACTGACAATAAGGTTCTACTGTACACATTATCAAATACTGTGTGAGTGAATAATTGAGTGTCACTTTTTTCTTTCCACCTGGTGGGCTATTAAATAATAGGCAAGATCAGTTTCAATGTTTAAAATTTAGTAATGTGTTACCGGTCATGCGTTTTAGAATCCATAAGGTTGCACCGGTTCCAATTCTACTCGAGGTGAAACAAAATATGCATTGGTTTTGAAATATCTTTTCAATTCATTTTACCTTTTATAGTTTCAAAACAGTCGAGGGTAAGTACAAGGTTTAAATAAAATATCGCCGTCTCCTGCCCACAAAAATCACTGCTACACATAATATATTTTTGCCAAACAGTTTCAATGAGAATCTGTAACATTTAGCATTGTAAACAAACAAACTGGGATACATGTTGATGATACTTTGACAACATGATTTCGCCTTAAAACAGATGCTTACGCTGCACAATTTCTTTTTTTTCTTTAATCCATAAAACTCATATATAATATTTAAATAGAAATTATGTTAAATAGAAAAATATTTTGCATGAAAAAATACTTTCATAGACAGACCTACCACAGAAGCAACGTTTTTTTTACTTGTTGAAACAAAAAATAAGATTATATTTAAATATTAAACTTCCGAGAGATTAATTTTATCCAGAACTTTTAATAGCCGTACAAGTATAACAGAAAACTAAATATGTGATAGAACAGACACGGGGTGAATGATTATAAAGATTTTTTACCAGATTTGACAGAGTCCATTAACACCATACTATATCATGTATATAGAGCATATTTGTTTGTTTGTGTGTAAGATGAAATTTTATTTCATCGAGTGGGCTTTAAAAACAGTATTCTCACGAGTGGCGTAGCCACGACTGAGAATACTGTTTTTAAAGTTCACGAGATGAAAAAATATTACATCTTCCACAACAAACAATCACATTTTCTTTTTATTTTATGCTTAAAAACAAGTTAAAACGAAATTTCCATAATATTAACGTTAATATTAAAATCTGTTTTCCCCTTTGAGAGCCCCATTTAGTCGGAATTTCTCATTAAAAACAAGAAGTCTTGAGCTGAAAAATAAGTCCGACAATCGACGTTAAATGACGGTAATATTATTCATTTTATTAAAAAAATATGAATGATCGCTTGTTTTAATAATAAAAACAAACAATTCTTGTAGGAGAAAAAGTCCAACCATCCATCCATATTTCTGATACTTACTGCGAATTTATATCAGACATAGCTTTGTAAGATGTAAGCGGCAGCCATTTTTTAAAGTTTTGTATTTCACGGGAGGAAAATAATTGTGTTTGATTCAGAGGAATATCATTTGGATTTGTTAGTCATACACCTTTTTAAAAGAAAGAAAACTTATTTGAGGATTGTAACAGACAAAAAATAAGTGTTGACAGATGTGAAAACATTCAGAAAAGGAGCTAGGAAAATGGAAAACTTGGAAGCTTGCTCAAGAACGCTGGGTTGTTTTACTTATTCTTCGAGTGATGGCTGTCAATGCTTTTCAATTTTTCATAAAGCATACGGCAGTTATTGCTCGTAGGATACTTTAATATGCCCAAATGTCATCAAGAGCAGTTTTGCATGGGGAAGGAACGTATTTTTCAGACTGTAAAAATGAAACAAAAAAATTTAGAGACGAAATTTGGTGATTGGAATTTGAATGAATAGAAGTAAGTTTTCTTCTTTTTATTACTTTTGACATTTAAGTTATTTATCAATTTCAGCTTTGCTTTTTCTTTAAACAGCCTGAGATTGTCAGAATTGTCAGCAAAAATAAAATTGAGGTACCACATGGGGAAAATCTTAAAAAAGTAGTTTCGTCATTGAAAAGAGTGAAATGAAATTATATTTTGATAATTTTCACTGTGAAATTATCAAATATAATTTTCACCGATAAATCAGTAATCCACTGAAAAGCATAAAATAAAATTTAGTTATTATGTCAACATTTATCATGATTAATCACACGAATCAGTTACATTCATGATAAACTTTATTAGAATCACCAGTCTGCTAGCTTATAACAATAATTTTTCTCTCGCCGCTGTTTAAGATATCATTTGGTATAAGTAGTCGGTCACTAACAGTGAGATTGGTAATGACTGGTTATCCAGGAAAGCCGGTTAGCGGATCAACCGCCCAGATATGAAAAAACAAGTGTTAAAATCGGCGTAAAATCTACAAATACAAACAATCAAACATAAATCCGCAGTGTAATGTTATGATATTGAATTTTGTAAGACCATGATAGATATTTAGCACACGTGTGTTGTTTTTAATTACAAGATTACATTACACAAATATATTCATTCTTCATTTTTTGCAACAAATTTTAAGTAACCAATTGTTTTTAGTGAATATGATATGAATATACCTCAACGCGAGTGAAAAAGTTGGTACGCTCTTACCTCACTGTGAGAAACATTTAATGTACATAATTTTGAAGAATAAAAACAACTTTAATAATGGATAATATTTAAATGATTTTATTGAAGAGCGGGAACAAAGACAGTTGAATTAATGTAACGCCGTCAACGGCTGTACGCCCAATTGCGCAAACATTATATAATATTATTTAGAATATCACGTTTTCACTCATCATATAGTAACAACAATTTTACAATTTTAGTGAAATGATAATAATGTATTTCAATAAAACGTATCAATCAAGAAGGTAGTTTGCACACCAACAAAACATTTGGCAAAGCTTAACGCAGAAAGTGTTTTTTATATTTAGTTCATGCTGATTAAAGTCAGGTTTTCACTGATAAACATTACATTGTTACAGTAGTAAATGCATTGAAAAGAAATTACATTGTATTCCCATAAAAAAACTGTCAAAACTGCTATTTTTATTGTTTATGTCATTGCAGTGGCTGTAAAGACATTACCTTCATACCTGACCTAGCATGTAAAACTGGCACCACTCAGGCAATAAAGATCCTCGAAACCGAAATAAACACACTAGAATCCCGCTTCATGACGTTAAAACAAAACAAAGCAAGGGAACTGGAAAGTGCAAGGAAAGAAAAATTGCAATTGATTCAAGAAATAAAATCAGAAAGGAAAAATATCAACGACCGTTTGGACAAGATGGAAATGGAACTTCTTCAAGAAGTCGATGCGACTTTTCAGATCAAATTGCAACATCTAGAGTCAAGCATGAAGAAAGTTGATGCGCGGATTGCTATACTAGAAGAAAGTCTTCAGAAGATAACTACTGCTAAACATGAAAACGAATCAGAAAAATATGTACAGATACAACTTGTCAAAGAGAAATATCAAAATACTATCGATTGTTTAAAAGAATTCAAAAGGGCAAACGAGACAGGCAAATTAAGGTTTGATCCATATCGACGTGGGACTGATTCGAAATGCAACACTATTGGAAACATACTTCATCTGCCAGCCATTGAAGTAGGAAAATGTACTGAATTTAATGTACGGATAGCAGATGACAAGAAGAAGAGCGATATAATTGAAATGTGTATGTGTGAAGACGGTTGTATTGTTATGACTGATTACAACAACAAGAGGATTAAGAAAATGAATGAATCATTCCAGGTCGTATATTCACTCAATGTCGCTGACAACCCTTATGGGATTTGCCAAGTGGGAACGTCATTGCTTGCCGTTACACTGATTAATGATAGAAAAGTTCAGTTTATCTCTCAAAAGGATACAATGGAGTTGCAACAGTCGTTCAAAGTCGGTGATAGATGTCGGGGTATTGCTTACAATGACGGGATGATCTATGTTTGTTGTGGCGGATCAGAAAAACGTAAAGAAGGTGTTGGTCATATTGAGGTATATTCACTTACTGGAAAAATGGTAACATCATACTATGGTGAGATAAAATGTCCTGTAGGTGTAGCATTCCCGATTTCGACAGTGGATATTTTTGTGAGTGACGCGTATAAAGGTATCTTTCTCATAGACAAAACGCGAGGCATGACAAACATTAATGTAGATAACAACGTATTCTCTCATGCTGAAGGTATCTGTAAGATAAACAAGAGTCAGTTCTGTGTTGCTTTTAATTTATCACACAATGTTCTTTTGATGTCACATGACGGGAAGGATCGAGTAGAACTATTGACAGGAAAAAATGGTATAAAAAATCCTATAGGTCTGTGTTTCGATTACAAAAGGTCTAGGCTTCTTGTCTCCAGCGATACAAGTGACAAAATAATGGTTTATACTTTAAAAGTAACTTATTAATTTGTCTATAAGGAAAACAAACGGTGTGATGTTAGAGTGTTTTCGAGTTGAAATTTGATCAAATTACCGTTTGTGAAATATGGAAGGTATGTGTCACTGAAAATATTTTGTCTGGTGAAAAAAAAATGTTTTAACACTCTGCTGCAAAAATATAGTTGATGATAAGATAAATATTAATTTCAATTATCTGATCGGTGTTTGCTGTCGTTTTGTATGCTTTATATCTAATTCATTCTTTTTAATTAAAAATGTTCAGGTAATTAGAGACTCCCAATCGCATCATCTCGGTCCCTTTTTGTCAAATTTCGGATAAGTTATTATGAATAATAGCCGAGGTGCTCCGATTGAGAGACTGCGTAATATTTATCCAAAACATTCTCTGATGTTTGCTTAGTTTTTTATTGGTTCTCAAATGTTTACTGGTACTTGATGAAGTTCAGTGCTGAAACAGCACTTTCTGAGAAAAGAGTACTGTTTTCAGCTTTTGAAAATTATTACAGGGATCATGGACAAAATTAGAATACATTGTTAAAAAGGAATTTACTATGTACCAATTAAAGTTATATCTGTGATTAAAGTGTTCTGGAAATGATACAAATATTTGTCACTTCATAAATGAAAAGTAGAAAGTAAAACAGATCAGGGAATTTTAAAAAGTTAAATAAATGCATTTAGCAAATTAAGAAAACTACCTTATGGCATGTTTTTTATTTGTGAATATCATTATAAAAGTATAATTATGTACATTGTTAAAAGCTGTGTTTGTACAATAATTGCATTGACAAATACTTTTGAGCTTGTTTTCATATTGGACTTTTTGTTGATGGTGCATTTGATTTTTGAAGGAATTCTGAAATAGTTGGGTACTAACTTGAAAGGGGTTTGGGAAAATGGAAATCAAACAGGTTGTCCCGAGTCTGTATTTAATACTTTGAAATAAGTAGTTTCAAGAGGATGTGAAAAGTCATATTCAATATGAGTACAGAGGCTTCATAATATAATTTATTTGTTGAAAATTTATGCCAAGAAAGGCTAATCAAAACAATTAAGTTAAATACATGTAAAATATATTGAGATAATGCCAAACAGATATGTATTTTTGTGGGTTTTTTTTCCTTCAGACTTCATTTGCCTTTTTGTTGTCGCAAATGTAACATAGGTATATTTTTATATTGTAATAGACATATTTTTTATATCTTATGTAAAATTTCCTGTAAAAGAAAAGTAATTATTAACATAATTATTTATGTTTTGATTATCATTAGAAGAATACCATTTTATTTGCTATTTCTTCAAATTCACAATTGTTTTGTATATAAATGTTCACATAAAATGTTACTGTATTATTATGAAAATATGATATTTGACTTACATATTAATATGAAAATAACCACAAAAAAAAAGATAACTGGATTAGTGCTATTTAAATTGACGTTTAATAATAGTTACTTCCGAGAAATAAATACTCATGATCAATTCTGTATGTTTGATGTTTGTACTGGTGATCTTGACCTCAAAGATCCTCAAACTCAATACAAAGGTATATTCCTTCCAAATATGGGAGGCATCGGTTATTAAATAAATGCTGTATGACTAAAAAGTGTAGTAATCTATTTTTTATCACTGGCGAGTAATAATCTACTTTTAGCATTGGTGACCTTGGTATGTATTGGACTATCCAAAGTATATACGATATACCAGGTAGACCAATAAATGAAGTTACAATGAGAATATGTAGGTATATATTATCATGATAGAACTGCAGAGGTACTGGACGAATGAAGCGGCGGCAAAAATAATAATCACGGATTTTTTGTAGGAGTATAAAAATCTATTACCAAGGGAAACCCACCTTTTAAAGATATGTTTATTTCTCTTTATTTTTGGTTTAAAAAGTGTCATATAAAATTAATTTCCACTTAAAAATTAAAGCTTGTAGAATTGCTTTAGCAACCTTAACTGCTTTATTTCTCATGAGAGCTATTGAGCAAGGGCGTAAAAGACAAACTTAATTTTGTCAAGTCAGGATTCACGATAAATGTCGTATATGGCCTTCTAAGATGACCTCATGTGCCTCCAGTCCCCTATGCATTAATTCAGGTACTATATGGTATCAGAGCAGAAGCACACAAAGCCCCCTGAAGCATCACTAAAATGTGATATCAGAGGTTTGGAATACAGTTTAGAATAATATTATATAAATGCAGGTATAGCACTGTGAGAATATGACCATTATAGCTACACAAAGTCCCCCTGAAGCACCACTAAAACATGATATCTGAGACTTGTAATACAGGTTAGAATAATATGAGCCGTGTCACGACAAAACCAACATAATGGGTTTGCGACCAGCATGGATCCAGGCCAGCCTGCGCATCCGCGCAGCCTGATCAGGATCCATGCTGTTCGCTTACAGACCCTATAACAAGTCGTCGTGCTAGTATTATAAGGTCCTATCTCCATTTTCATGAAAATTGAGTATGATATACCACTGGATTCAGAATTGAAAGATCTATCTCCAGGTGGTTTCAATTTATGTATGAGGTTACCCTGCTTGATATAATAGCATGTATATCATTTTCCATTTTCGAAAATAATAGTTGAATTAATTATTATGTTGCTCTATGTCCATGAGCCATTCAGTGATTGTGTGCGAGGTCATGTGACAGATTTTGCTTTGTCAAAAAGCATTGACACCATTGCTTAAACTGGCTGCCAGAAGTAAGTTTGTTTTTTAGTATCATAATTATTTGATAAATTGCTAGGAAATATTACCAGTAAGTCAAAGCAAAACCTTTCATTCTTTTAAAAGAGATAATGCCATTATATATGGTTACCGCCTATAAATATAAATGGTTATAAACACTACTCCTGGAGATAGGGTATTGTAATTCTGAAGAGAAAATTTTTATTTTGTTTTAATATTTTTTCAAAAATATGGCAATAAATAGAAGGCAGTGTTGTTTAAGGCTAATGTACTTATTCTGAAACATTTTTAATCATCTATTTGAGTTATCAAAAAAACTTAATAAGGTATCGTGAAAAAAGTCGTTATAAATTTTATAAAATATAACTTTTGAACTATGGATATATTCGGATGATTGAATTTCGGTTATAGTTGTTTCTTGTTTTAATATACTGTCGTCTATATAACTAACTGTTGTTGTAGGATAAGATACTTTAATTGTTTCAGAGATTAGAGTGTGTTTCATTGAATGCAGATGCCAGAACATATACTAGACAGTGTTTATTTTGTGATTTCTTCCATTAGAATTTTTACTTGACAGTGTTTCACTAACATGTTAAAGACTCCACAACCGCGCATTTAATGTTTTTGCCTTCTATGAGAAATTTTGAATTTTCTTTTCCATTTAGCTTAAACGATAGAGGCATCCACAATATTTTCCAACATGCTCGTGGGCTTAAACTATTTTTAATTCCATGAATATTCATCTTGTTCAACATTTAAACTTTACCAATGATTTTAGTTCGCTCAGTCACTGTATATCAACATATTGGTTAGATATTTCAGACAGTCCAATTTTATAATTGTCACATCTAGAATAAAACTTAATGTCTCACATTGCAGAAACTTAAACGACTTCGATTTTCCTGCGATTAGATTTTGTCATCAACTACTGTCAATTACTAGTATATATTTTTTCTCATGCAAATGTTATCAGGTGAACAATCAAGTTCCTTTAAAACTTTGTTTTATTTTCACTCTTATTGGCAGAAAAGGAGGATCACATATAGTTTAAAGAACTTATTGCAAATGCTTACATTGACTGTTCCTTTCATAGTTTTCAAAATGAGTAAAGTTTTTTTTCAGGTGAAAGAAGTTTTTGCAAATCCTCCAATCTATAATTATGTTTTTGTAGTATGTGCTGCCTATTAAATTGTGACAGGAGTTGTTGCATTTTTATTGTAAATCTATCGAGGGCATTTTTTTAACATTTTGGTCTTTTTAACAGAGAGAGATAAAATCAAGAACTAATTCAAGACAAAGTAGCAGATAAACATGTTAAAATTTCCATTTTATCAGAGAGTTGATTTTATATTCAGTTTTTGTCTGTAACTAAGTGAATAAAGTGTTTTTGTTCGTTAACATTGCAGAATTTGTTTAGGCTGGAAAAACTATTGCCTTATAGATTCTAGTTATTGTTATATGATAAATATTTAAAGTGATTGTGTTGAAATCTTTTGTTTCAGTTTTGTAAAAAATCACATTGCAGGTAAAGTACAAGTAGTTTATTGCGATCTATTACAAAATTTGTATGTTACTGATGCCTACAGGTGAAATAATTTATTCAAATTTATTTCTTTGTCACAAGTTATATCAAAATGTGTATCTGAAAGATAAAAATACAATTATTGACCAGAATTTTAAGTTTGTTTATACAAATACCATAATAATCCTATTTGTTTTCATTAAAATTGAACATATTTATTAGTTTTAAAATATCCTATATCCTAGTTCATACTATCCTGGGCAGTTTTAAAACGCTCTATCTCCGGGTGCAACATAATTCTAAGCTTCCGGCAAGTACAAATAAGCAAAAAGCTCTATCTCAAAATGAAAAATCAGGTTTTAGAAAATATCTCTAAAGATATTGTGTAAAATCTTTGTTTGCAAGTTATGATAGAACATATTAATGATTCATTCAAAAAATCTTCATCATTACATGGTCCAGTAACATTTTTCTGTTAACTAAATTTTAAAGCTCGATTTCCCGCAATGTTACATAATGGCACTTAGGACCTTATTATACTAGCACGACGAAGTAAAGAAACTAATAGCGAACAGCATGGATCCTGATCAGACTGCACGGATGTGCAGGCTGGTCTGGATCCATGCTGGTCGCAAACCCATTATGTTGGTTTTGTCGTGACACGGCTCATATTATAAAAATGCAGGTATAACACTGTGATAATATGACCAAAATAGCTGAATGCATTTACTCAACAACCTGCCACAACTGAAATTGAATTAGCCATTGCCACCAGTAAAGCTACAGCCAGACCAAACCTACATCCCAGCAGTCTGATCTGACTCTATAGTTTAGTTTAAACAAATTTATTATCTTGATAATGAAACAAATTCTTGCAACTCATAACCATCACTTTTGTGAGCCGAGTAGGGTTCGGACCCATGAATCCTGGGTTGAGAGGCAGACACTTTAACCACTAGACCACCGTTTCACTTCGGCTCTATA